TACAATATTAAAATTTTAGAATATATAATTTCTATAATCGACATGAAATATTTTCTGAAATATAATATATAATTTCTATAATTTATTTGATTTTATAATTTAGAAATATGTTATAATATAAACACAATTACATAAATATATAATTATAAATGAGGATTCTCAATCTTATTAAACAATAAAATAAAAATTCAGATAAGGCTAATACGCGAGAGTCATAGGCTGATGTAAAAGGGAAGAGATAGAAGAAGCAGATAATACTCAGGTGTTGATGGTTATCTTCATTTATTAAGTATCTTAATGAGTAGAGGAAAACCCCCTATTATGAGATAGGCGCCTAATATGAGATAGTGGAGTTTCTGCTAAACTAATAGGCGCTACCTATTAGTTCCACCATGAATTTATTGCTCTTGGATTGAAAACTATTTAGTAGAAAATTCATATTCATTTATTAAATTATTATAAAGTATATATATTATAAAGTAGCTTATAGTAAAAATTATTGTAAAAAAAGATTTTACAATTTGGATGTCTTCAAGTTTCATTGAGATGAAACCTTAAACATTATTTATTATTTAATAAATAAAAATATTTGGCAATAAATTTTTTATGTAGTGATAGAGTAAGGTCGTACTAATAGAAAAATACGGGATATGTTAAATTGCTTAATTATAGAAGTTAGATTTGATGATCGTAAAATTGTAAGGCGTGGAAATCGTAATATAAAATACCAAAAATATTTTTAATATGAAATATATAATCCATGCTCCTATGTTATAGTGAAAATTGTTGCTAAAGTATAAATGTATATATTGTATATATACATCCGTATTACAAATCAAACTAATCAAGACTTCTTATAAATCAAAGAACTGGAAAGGATGGTAGTAGGAAAGGACGGGCAGTAATCAAGCGCAGAAGATATCGCGCAAATAATATATATCTATGAAGTATGAAACTTCTTTATTCACTAAAACACGCTTACATATTTCGGCTCACTTTCAGGAGACAGACGCACAGACTCAACTTGCAGACGGATATGGAGGGGCTTCCCAAGGCCTACCCTCCCGATTATAGACAAGCTATAAAGACTTGTGTTGTTGTCACGTCTAGTCAGTTAGTGTCGTTCGTAGTAATGAGTCTTTTTGGCGTGATTTTTTATTACTTTCCAACTTTTATTTTCATGGAATTGATTAACGTTCCAATGCAAAATTTTTTATTTGTAAGCTTCAATAATACTATCTAAAACTAAAAGCGATTCACTGTGTCTGACATTGACTGGCCAAAAAATGTCGAAAATCGGTTTTTGAATAATTTATAGTAATGCGGTATAGTTTATAATTTGTGATCAGGATGAGCGTCCTTATTTTCGGGATATTTAATTATAATCTTAATATTTTTGATAAATTAGTTTTTCATATTCTCTATTTCGATATTTCCATTATTTCCTTCTTTTCGTTTCTTTTTTCTTTTTCTTTCACTCTTTTTGGATTTAATTCTGGCATTTAAATTCTCGAGGTAAGAGAGCTCATCATGACAGGATAATTTTTATTTACAGTTTATGTATGTTAGTTTGTGTTGTCTCTGAGGAGGACTCAAAAGTGAGCCGAAATATGTAAGCGTGTTTTAGTGAATAAAGAAGTTTCACACTTCATAGATATATTATTTGCGCGACGTCTTCTGCGCTTGGCTCCTACTGCCCGTATCCTTTCCAGTTCTTTGTATATGTATAATAATAAAAAGGACCGAATGAACGTCGCCTATTTCTGCGATGCTTGATTTCAACTATCAGAAAACGAGTTCTGGGTATAATGTATTGCATACTCATTTTTCGCGCATCCTAGCTGTGTTTATATTTAAGAAACATTAAATAAAGTTTTTTTAGTTACAATACTGATGTACTTTGCGTTTTATTATCGATTTCTCGGGACATATTAGGAGCGCAGTTTTTTGTGATTTTTTTATTCACTTTTTACATTTCTTTAATTTA